GATACAATTTGTGAGAGGACTCAGGTCTTCCTTTGCTAGTTTGTGCCTTTCTATGGAGCCAGGTTCACTGTCTTTACCTCAAATGCCTCACTTTTTAAAAAGTGTTTCTTATCTGTGTCACGTTTCGAAAACTGCAGGCACTTCAAACTCCTTTTCTAGCTTTCTTCCTCTTTCCTAGTACAAGGGCTTTCTTGAAGCATGCTCCTTTAAAAAGCATTTCTTTAAGGCAGGCTGTATTTTACCTTCTTTTAATAAGTACCCTTGCGGGCTAGAGATCACTTTAGGAAGCCTGTGCTTTATTTATACCAAATAGTCTATATCCCAATTTTTGATCTTGAGTTTCTTAATTTCCTCTCCACAAAATGTATTAATAAAAGCCCTTCACAGCTGAAAGCTGTTGCCAACATATTTTCCAACTTATCATCATTCTCTTGCATCTCTCCCCCCTCCTCCTCCTCCCCCACAGTGCTTTAGTAGCACATTCCATGGTGCTATCGTCTTACTAGGACAGCCCCTCAGAATTTGAGTTTACATTGATAGTCTCTTGGGTTTGTTAGTTGCAACCTCTGGATCCCCCCCCCCCACATAGACTTTATGAATACCTCAGTTTGTCTTGGTTTTGAAGGCTGATTCTCACAACAGTTTAAAGCCCATGCCAGCCACAGGGAAATGTCAGTCCATGGCAGACATTTGGCATGAGGCTGAATTGTGCACATGCTAAAGGCCATTGCCTCACCACAGGCTGGAAGTCACCGTAATATGGCTTGTTCCTGAAGCAGACATGGTCTGGTCTGGTCATGAGAATGGGCTCTCAGTCAAATGGTGTGCATAAACGGGGCTGTAGCATATATGTGCTCCATTCTCCTCTCGGGGAATCCCATCTTACCAAATGTATCATCATCAGGATGTAGATCGCCACCAAAATCTCCTTCTTGCTATCAGTGAGGAGGACAGGTTCTCCTTCCTAAATAAGCACATTTAACCCAAGTGATGTTGCTTTCCAGCACAGAAGGAGATCTTCATCTCTTTCTTCAGCACAGAACTGAATATGCTGTTGAGGTGAAGGCAAAACCACTTCCTTCAACCACAGACGGAACACAAGGAAGACTATCCGGTCATGGCAGCCTCAGAACTGTACAGCCAAGTGAGAACTGCATATAGAGCTGTGTGGCTTCCCCTCTCACCCTCAGTTTTCGTCCTGCCAGACATTCAGTGCATGAGAACTGCAATGAGAAAGGAAGGTGCTTTTTACTGGAAGCTCAGCATGGTCAAGAAGCAAACGAGATAAATTTTATTTACTTAATTTATATCCTACCTTTCTCCTCAGTGGGGACCCAAAGAAGTAAAACCATTCTCTTCACCTCCATTTTATCATCACAAAAACTCTTTGAAGTAGGGTAGGCTGAGAGTGTGCGCGCCACCTTTGGTCACACAGTGAGTTTCCACAGCAAAGTGGGAATTCAAACCCGCGTCTCCCAGATTCTAGTCCAACACTGTTATCTGCTGCACCATGTTGGCTCTTGAAATGGCATATGATAAGTTCCAGAGTGATCCCTGAAATCAAAACAGGTTGCTTGAATGCATGAAACTGCCTTATATCAACTCAGGCCAATGACTCACCTGCCTCAATATTGCCTGTTCTCAGGCAGAGAAACTTTTCCCCTAACACTCACTACCTGCGATCCTCCAACTGGAAATGCCAGGGAAGGACTCTTCTGAATACAAAGAAAGCCAGTGTAGCTATAGCAGTTGAGAATGTTGCAGTAGGGTCTGCGAGACCCAGGTTCAAATCCTTACTAGGCGACCTTGGGCCAGTTGTGAGGGTACAATGGAAGAGAGGAGAGCACTGGATGACATTTCGACTTCTTTGGAGCAAAGGCAGGATATAAAAGTATCTATGAGATCCTGAGCCCTTTGGGGGAAGGTGGATGATGATGATGATGGTGATAATAATAATAATAATACTATTGTTTACATAGATAGATAAACCACTGAGCCACAAACCACTCAGCTGCTTGGTTTTACCACCTCAGTACTGGAAGCCTTGCCTAGGAGTCTTTAATCTCTAGATTTGCAGCAAAGACAGCTTGCATATTTTCACACTTTTCTCCTTAACCTTGAGAGCTGGAAATTTGCATGTTTTGTTTAAGAAAAGTCTTAGGGTTAAACTAGATATGAGGAGGAAATCTCAGCATATTTCTTCATATATCTGCCCATTCATGAGAAAAGCAGATGATGGGCAGTGCCTATTTTTTATAGAAAGTGGAGCACACAAGTGAAGCATTCTAAACCCTTCTTTGCTTTGCATACTGGAGAAACAAAACATCAAGCATTGGAGCACAATGAGACAAGACAAGTAGAGAATAGCATTAAGATACCATCACTAGGACACTCTGTTTTTTAAAATAAAAATTAGACCCTCCTGCCTCCAGTATTCAGTGTGAATAGAATAAATGTACTGGGTGCCCCCATCATAATAGTTTGGGCCTATGGAAGACAAATTATTCCAGGATTCCAGATTCTACCTATCATTAGGGATCAGGCATGTAGCTAGGAAATTTTGAGCCCACCAGAGACGCCACCACTGGCGGCCACCTGCCTCCCCTCTGCTAGAGCGCCTACCCCCTGCCTGGCCCCCAGCACTTCCACTGCATCTCTGTTGGTGAGTGTCAGGGACTGGACTGGGCCAGGAGTCAGAACAGAAGCGGATTTGAGAGCCCAAGAGAATAGTCGTCCAAAGCAGGTGGTCAGGAATCCAGGAATCCAAACAGGAACGAGGTCCAGAAACAGGAACCGTGGGTGGGCGCGAGCTCAGCACAGATGCGATTTGTTGCTTCCATGGCGAGCCCAACCCCGAGCGGGAGCTATATGGGCCTCTGGCAGGACTGCTCCTGTCAGTACTCAGAGCTCGCCGCTCACCTTCGCTGCCAGCATGCTTCTCAGCGGCAGGTTGCTAAGTCCCTGCGGAGCCTCTCCCTCAGCTGAGCCACCCATGGAGGTGAATCAGGCGGGCTTTCTGTTTGCACCTGTACCTCGTCGGCTGCGGCTGGACCAGGTGTGGGGATTACTGGCTCAGGTACTGGCGGTGGCAAGCTGTCAACTCCCGAGGAGTCAGAGGGGCAGGCTTCCAGCTCTGGTGATGCTGGCGACTCCAGCTGCGTGGCCAACTCAGGTGGGGGCTCGGCATGGTTGTCGTCGCCCATGACAGTGAGTTGCCAGGTTTGGGAGGACAGGGGGAGACCGCACCCTCCAGGGAATGGGGAACTCCAGCTGGGGGGGGGGTGCACGCTGGGGTGGGACATGTTGCTGGACAAGCTGACCGGGGAATAGTTGACCTGCCTGTTGGAGGGCATCTTTGGTGGGGGCGTTAAAAATTTGGGAGGGGGTGCCGCCCTGTATGCCTCCATGCTAGCTACAGCCCTGTTGAGGATGTCAGTGAGATTTAGTGATTATGGTATTGGACTAAGACCTGGGAGGCCCAATTCAAATCCAAAGTCTGCAATGGAAGTTTGCTGGGTAATCTTGGGTCAGTCAGACTCTCTTAACCTAAAGCTACCTCACAGAATTGTTGTGAGGATGAAATGGGAGGAGTGGGGAAAGATGTGAGCTTCTTTGGGTCCCCACTGGGGAGAAAGGTGGGGTATAAATTAAATAAACAAATACATAAATGCTTAGAACTGCATGCCAGTTCATGTTCAGTGGATGAATATATCATTTTTGACAGTCATCACAACACATGATCCAAGGCCAGATCTCCTCATCTCACCACCATCTGACATGAGCAGCGTGCGAACAGCTTTGTAGCTATGCTGTAGCTGTGGAGGCTAGCTTTCCTTTCTTTATGATTTGGGGCCTTCTTTGGCAAAGGGACATGCAATCTCCCTCATGGTCACCGTTGGGTCATGTCATTAAAGTGCCCAGACCTCAGTTTGCTCCCTCCTGTGCCTGTGTAAAATGCTGCCGCTCCAAACAAATGGGCGGCCAAATTAGTGTTGATAACATAGACGAAGAAGAACTCCAAATGGTTAAGTTTTTTAAAAAGCAACATTTATCCGTAAATTACTGACTGACTGATATGTTCGCTCTTTGTTTAAACAGTTGACTGTGGAATGGCCTGCATCAGCAGGACAGGTCTGTGGGAAGGGAACTATGACACGCAGGGCTTTTTTTGTAGAAAAAGCCCAGCAGGAACTCATTAGCATAATAGGCCACACCCAACAGCAGGAACTCATTAGCACATTAGGCCACACCCACATGTTACCAGAAGTGTGGTTATCCAGCCACACCCACCTTTTGCTCCTTATTCTGTTTACCTTGTTTGTTGTCAAAACCCAGGGCCTTTTTTTGTAGCAGGAACTCCTTTGCATGTTAGGCCACACACCCCTAATGTAGCCAATCCTAATGAGTTTCTGCTGTTGGGTGTGGTCTATTACACTAATGAGTTCCTGCTGGGCGTGGCCAACTTGGGAGCCATCCGGAACTCCGTTCCTGTGCGTTCCTGCCCCAAAATAGCCCTGCCCATCAGGCTGTGCCAGATTTCTCATGTATGTCATGCTCCCGATTGCACTGTACTGTCTACTGTTTGAATATGTGGCAGTTGAGGCCAACGAAGTCTCAAGCTTTTCCTAAGCAGCTGGTTGAAAGTCAGTTGCAATGGGTGAGCAGAACAACACGCACCGACTGAACCGCTGGGTGCTCAAGCATTTGTCCATCATGTCTCTATGACTCTATGCAGTGTCTGCGCTAGAGTCGTGTTCATTAGTAATCATCCAGCAAGCAGCGGTCTCAGGAATGAGGAGAACTGCTGTAGGCTGGAATGTGGTTTCAAGTGACTGCACAGTTGCCGCAGGTGAGAAGAAAGGGAGGAGGGAGAGCCCTTGGAGGAACAACAGCACATTGAGGCCACCATATCTCTGTGGGGCAAAGGAAACGGAAAGAAGATAAGGAACCTTTTGGATCAGGAATTCCTTCTCACTTTCCCCTTTCTGTTTGTCTTTCAGCAGAGATAACACCAGACCTTATACAGTTTACCTGTATCCCAAGCTGCCAGCAACAGAAGAAATAGCAATGTGACACTTTCCGTTTCCTCAAACACACACGCTTTACTCTTTTCTAACCAGAGAACAGCAGGCGTTGAAAAAATGAACTCACCCTATGCGTGCTGCACCTCACCTCAGGTCCTCTTATTTCTACCATCACAGCCACCTGACTTATCTTGAGTGGCTGTAACTCAAGGAGTGATTCGGAAGAAGAGAAACAAGATTTCAAACTATGGAGTGGAGAGAATTTTAAAGCCAAGATTGATAAAGAAGGGAGAATATTTGTGTCGTATTTCATCCATCACTTTCCCTTTTAAAGAATCTGGGGGAAAGGATAGCTGAGCCATCCTGTGCACTTGCCGGAGGGGGGGGGTATTACACAGGGGATTAGGCTAGGTGTTCTTCATGACCTCTCTTGTTGATGAAATCCTTGCATGAACAAAAGCAAACAGCTTATAAGACAAGTCTGCATATCTTGTGACTCACTATGCCAAACACAGCCAAGTTTGACCACCCTTGTGTTTCCATAGCCTCAAGCAGGCAGCAAAACCAAACGTTTTAGTGAGCTCCTGGTGGACCTCCATAAATAGCTGAAGGACTGCATTTGGCTTGGTGGGTTACAAGTTATTCAGGCCTCCTATTGTCAGCAAGCTGCCATAAGGTGGTGTGTTCTCGTATACATGTTATATTGTGCTCTGTCCATCCCCCCCGTGTCCTCCTGTGTAGGTGTTTACTTTCTTTTACTTACTGCTTCTGCGGAACTGCTCAAGGTCAACCAGCTGGAGGTGGGATGGAGTTATGGCGTTGCTTTGCTTATTATGTATCTCATGCCTGAGAACTGAACTTGTGTTTATGTTGTAGAACCGTTGTGTTCCCAAGGAATTGGGCGCTTGTTTTATCTGCATTCCCGCCAGCGGGAATTGGACTCATTGGTCCTAACCTGGTTCAAGTTCCTTTATTATGTTACCCTCTGGGGTCTGTAGTCATTCCTAACAATTCTTGTGTTCCTGAGCTAACCATCGCTTTATAATAAATTTGACTTTGTTTTTCAAATGTGGATTTATTTTGAATGCATGGGGAATCAGACACCTATAAGAACTCATTTATCCACTCTCTTCTAATGAGCAAAGGGCTGGGGGAATCATATGCCACACTTTCTTCTGCCATATTGCCTCCACTTGCTGTGTAAACAGAGGCAAAGGTAAAGAAAGGCCTGCTCTTCGCCCTGTAGAGTAGTTGTTGATGCTCACTTTAGGAGTCGTTAGGATCACCACTCTTCACACACCACATACAACATGGTGGCTGTATTTCCATTTCTTTTGTGGAGATGTCAACAACATCAGTTTAATTAGAGCTAAAAGGGTGGCTGATTCCATAACAGTGTCTGCAGAAGTTAAGCGAAAGACAGGCTTGCTCGTGCCTCCAACCAGAGGTCCAAGGACTACTAGGAGGCCGCATCGTCAGTGCATTACAGTGCAATCTGTCAGTCCATGTGATGTAATAGTTAGGATGTTCGATCAGACTCAGGAAGGCATGGGCTCAAATCTCCACTCTGCCCTGGATACTTTCTAAGTGGCTGAGGTCCTGTCACCCTCTCTCAGCTTGACCTTCCCCACAGGATTGTTTGAGGATAACACGACAAAAGAAAAGCTCCTTATAGGTATGGTGAGGATAAAACATATCATCATCTCCCTCTCAGGAAGAAGAACACCACCAAAAGAAGATCAGCCTGGATATAAATGCTGAAGACAATAGGGAACCTTTAGCGTACAAGTACAGCCACAAAGAACACCCACCAAGGGAAGACCATCAACAATTCACAACTATATATGATCAAAACTGTATATTACATTCATTAAGGCACAAAGACGGGTTAGTGGTCATAACCCAACAGAATGTATAAACACATATCCAACAGATTGCTCATAACAAGCATTGTTTACAAAAAGAACGTGTTCAAAACCAACAGTAGGCTCCTCTGTAATTCCGTACACATATAGTGTCCATAGACCTCCAAACAGAAAGTAACTGCAGCAGAAGACTCCCACTGTGGAAAGAATAAAAGCCGTACATCTCTCCCAGGTATAAATCAAGACGTTTCAATGGTCTTCAAGAGCAGCTGGTAAAACAGAACCTGATTTCCAAAATAATATAGGCACAGCTCAGTAACTTCAGTGGAATCCTTGGATAGTGGCTGGGGATCAGGCGACAGAGTTCCATTCTCTTTGAGAAAATGGCTGCTTTGGAAGGTTGACATGTCTTATGGTATTATTGAAGTCCCTCCCTGAACCTCAGGCTCCACCCCAAAAATATCCAGGTATTTCCCAACCCGGAGCTGGCAACCCTACTAGTTGTGTCCAGAGTCTGGGAAAATCTTGCCCAGAAAGGGGATGACACTGTGTCAATGCCACACAGAAGCTGCTAGAAGAGTTGGCACAGTTTGGGAAGCAAGACAGATCATGAGCTCCACAGGAAGTTACCTCTCTCTGCTGATTTCATTGGTAGGGAACGTTTAACCATACACCTTTTGGGCAGTAAAGTGCAGACTCTGAGCCAAGGTCATAGAAGCTCCCAGTGCAGGTAGGTTGTTTTTTGCAAGCCATGTGCATAATAATTTTTGATACACAGAGAGCAAAATAGGAGCCCTGCAGGTTCAGACCACAGCTCTATACAGGGTACAGCATTCTGTTTTCAGCAGTGGACAGGCTGGCACAGGCCTTATCCAATAGAGTTCTCAATGTCAATTCACAGTCCAGGATCAAATTCAAGCCCAGCTAGACCATCCTGGAGTGCAAATGATCATTGTGCTTATGATGGCAATGTTA